ATTGTGTCTTGTAGTTGGTACGTATTAATTTTCTTTTAAAAATTTCTTCTGTGTTTATGTATATTTTAATATTTCTCAAGAATAAATTTCTTTTTCTTTTTTCTTTCTCTCTTAGCACTATTTGCTTATTTATTTTATTTCTAATCCTTATTCAGAAATAACATTCGATATTTTCTTCATGCAGCTTCCACAGAACAGGATTATTACTGTGTGCGGTGTGGTGGTAGTCTCCACCGTTGTGCTTGGTACCACAGTTGCACTTTTATACAAACGAAAAAAAACAGCTCATGATGTTGATGATGATTTTAACGCATTTGCTGTTTCACCTTTAACGAAGTCTGCTGTTGATGCATCTGATGCAGATCGTTCAAAAGCCTCTGAAAAGCTTTCGCAGGATGATGTAGAGGCCGCGATTATCGAAGAGTCTCTTGATGAGCTAGTCCCGAAGAAGTTCTCACCCATTGTAAGCCAACAAACTACATTGGATCCGACCACTTCATTGAGCAATGCCGCTTTAAGTAGGGGAGATGCCAGTGATAAGAATCGCAAGGTCATTGAACATCTGGGCATTTCCATGAGAATGCCAGGCGGTTGGGAGGTGCGGGAGGAACTGTCCCCTGTGCCGAATATTGCAATGTTAACGGTATTCAATCCTGAATTTGCGGATGCGCCCCAGTCCGAGGTACCTGGAAGTGTTCCGATCATGATCCTTTCTGTGGAGGATATCCGCGCTGAGAATTTGAACTTGACAGAGTTCAAGGACCGTTCCAAGAGTATTTCCATGTATCAGATGCACATGATGACAGGTGGTGCCATTGAGCCGGTTTTGCGCAAGGATGCCGCCGTGGGTGAGGGACCCTTTCGGCACATCTTAGAGTATGCTCAGAATATGCCCCCGTTTTTTGACATTTCGGTGGTTAATCTTATTGAGGTTCGTTATGGAATTGCGTATGTATTCCAGATCATGTGCAGCCCCACTGTTATGGAACAGCACAAGTCTGTGTTCATGCAAATCGCGCGTGACATGGAGCTTAAGACGTTGGACAACTGCTCACTGGGCTATCTGAAAGTCTTCACTGGCTCTATCAGCATCCGCATTGACACGATGTGGGGTTGGGGACAACCAGCGAGTCGGACGGACGACAACCAGGGCGTTCTAGCCCGCTTTGAGCAACTTTCCACCGTTAAGCGGGAGGAAATTCTGTTATATAATGCCAATTGTGTTCCTGAAGCGGATCTTAAGCCTCGTAAAGAAACAACAGTTGATGGCGTCGTGATTCAATCCGTTTTTGATGGCATGCATGAACGGAAGGAGGTCCGATATGGCGACTACGTCCTGGTTGTGAAGCCTCTGCAGAAGGCCATTTCTTACATCCCTGAATCTGTTCTTGTGGAAGCCATCAAGAGTGTCGAGGCCAGCACTGAAAAGCCGAGGCCCCGACAGGGAGCCACTTTCTATTGCCCAGAATACGACTATTGCTTTGATGTGATTGGCGGCAGCCGCGTGGTGTCAACGAAACTAGGCGCCGGGACAGTCGTATATGCGCCGCTAGGTGTCCCCCAAGACATGACCAAGGAGATCGTTCCAGAAGAGCAGGGGCCGACTGTGACAATACGCGTCGGGTCGCCAGAAAACGACCCCGACTGCATGCCTTCCATTGAGGGGTGGCATGAGCGGATTAAGTCCGAGTCGGGACATGAAAACATCACCAACATTGAGCTTACCACCAGGAAAGGTCAACCATGCTTGAGCTTTACATCAAAGGAGATGCAGGAGATCGGCCCAGGACAGAAGCTCGAGGTGCGGGGTGACGTGTTCATTTTCGTCAGAAACGGTGTCACGACGTTGATCCGCTGGGAAACTGCGACTGGAAAGTGGCGAAAGTACGAGCACGACCTCCATGCATTCTTTGAGTCCTTTACTTTCCTGGCGTAATTGCTGTTAAGTGAGCATATCCAGATGCTTGGTCAGAGAGGAAAATCAATTAGAGCTTGTCAGAGAGAATTACTCTGCCTGTGTGGCACACATATGTTTTTTTTGCTGTGGCTGTATCAGCACAAAAAACGCTTGAACAGATTCAAGGATGACGAGCCAGCGGCCTCGGCTTGCTTGCTTTTAGCATCCTTTGTAAAACAAATTGTCGTTGTGTAATGGAGCGTTCTTGATAATCTTAACGTCGAATTTAACTTTTCAATTTCCGAACTAGCAGTGATTTCCTTATAAAGTACAGACGACACCCCTTATTTTTTAGTACTACGTTTAGAAAGCTGTCGAATTGTGTGCCAGTGAGGATTTAATTAACGTTTAGGGATTAGCAGTGGTAGTCAATTATTCCAGATTATGAAAAAATATGTCCGTGACGTAAAACATGCTGTCTGTGCATTGAAAAGGAAGAGTAGAGAAGCTTTGTCAAGGTGAAAGTTTAACGGTTCTCAGTTTCCTTGACATTTAATTTTCCTTCTAGTTTTTGCTTCTATAGGATTCGTCAGAGACGGCTAAGACTAAATGTGGGGTCAGAATATATTAAAATGGGCAGAAATATTGCGAGCAGCCTTTGTGGGGCGCGGCGCGGCGCCGTCGGAAGGGGGACTGGGCGATCGAAAGGGACCCCGACGGGATAAAAAAAAGGGAAGACCGGGAATCGGACCCGGGTATTCAGAGCCACAATCTGATGTTCTGCCACTGAACTATCTTCCCGGCAGATCTCACGGAGAAGGAACATAGGGCGGGGATGTATGGGATGTCGGAAAACACAACGCTGACGGGGGTCGAACCCGCAACCTTCGGATCCGGAATCCGACGCGCTTCCATTGCGCCACAACGTCACCGCGGTGAAGCACAAAAGTGATGACTACGTAATTTGGTATTCTTCTAATTCTAGATTGCGACACGACGTGCGATGGTCGTCTAGTGGTTAGGACATTCGCCTCACACGCGAGAGATCGCGGGTTCAATCCCCGCCCGTCGTAACTTTTTACCTTTACATGCAACGTTTTAGCTTGTATTAATCACCGGGACCTTCAGTGTCCGATATAGTATAATGGTTAGAACACCTGGCTTTCACCCAGGAAATCCGGGTTCGATCCCCGGTATCGGAGTTTTTTCCTACCTTCTTGGGACGACGAGGTGAAAGAGAGCGAGAGAGGCGCAGATGGAAATCCATGAAGTGACTGCCCAATGAAAGATTCCCCCAACAGATCAGCTTCCCATTTATTGCTCATTGATTATTTTTATTATGTTTAATCGCAACTTAATCCATCAGTTATGTAGTGAATACAATGAGGAAAAGTCAGCAACAAAAACTTCACTTTTTATTCTGAATATCTGCTTGTTGAACTGCCAGATCTAGTGTCGTGCATCTTGCGGAGAGCGATCAGCTCCTCCAATGGCACATTCCTCTCGATGAGGAGCTGGTAATATTTCTCGAATTCCGGCGCACTTGGATCGAAGAGATACCACGATCTTCGTGGTTCCTTCAGCATGGAGATAACATCCTTCTTTTTCTTTCGTAAGACATGTTCGATTAGATACGATACACACATCACAAAAGATAAGGATCCAACTGCGATAAACGCTATGCCCACACCCGGCTCTTCAAACCCAGCCGTGCCATGTGGTCGCAAGACGAACCCTTTGTGACCCCCCAGAGTTTCAACATCAAAGAACTCTTCTACCTGGAGTAAATAAGTTCCTGGAGTAAGGTCTACGTTTATAATTCGGTACAGTTTTCGGAAATTGGATAAAGGGGCACACCTCATCCATACTTGTAGATCTGGATCAACGGGGTCCGGTAGGGAATGTCCAGGCTCGTTGAGATACCAACCTTTGTTGAGGTAGGTATTATTGGTGTGATAAGGAAAGTAAAGCGACCACCACTTTTCATCCAAAGTGAGGTTCTTAAAGCGCACATCTGTGTCTGCACGCCAGCTGATCCCTTTCTTGGAGCAGTGGTTTGGTGTCGCACTCTTCCCGAGGGGGTTGCTCTTTGCGTCGAAGTCCGTGCCGTTGCACACTAGCTGAACCGTGAGACTCCTATCCTTACTACTCTTCGAAGTCGAGACCCCGTCAAGCGCTGGAGAGGTCGAAGACACAACCTTGAAAAGGGTCAGCGTGTCATTGAACATAGACCACGCTGCGATGCCGCACGGATTGTAGTTAAACGAGTCCGCTTTCCGTTGCTGTCCATTATACGAAACTACTACACTCCCACCGCTTTTGTCCACATACCCTGGCTTAAGATAAGGATGGCAATCGGACATACTGCCAGGATTTTTGCTCCCAGAGAGCTGCGATTTGGATCGCCCCGTTTGGAAGTAGCGGTGATTTTGAAAGAATCTATTAAGTTTGTAATACATATACACTGGTGCCTTCATTTCTTTATTTATATTGAAAAGTAGCTGTGTTATTGTGCCCTGCTTATGGGTAACTCCGTCCACCACAAAGGAACGCAAACCCTCATTGATATTAACCGAGGGATCACTTGGTACATATTGGTAACGGTGAATTTGATCGTAATTTCCCTCGACTACGTAGCTTCTCGAACTTTGAACAAGTAGTACTACGCCCAACGTTAGGCAAAGAATCGTGAAACAGAAACACAATATAATATACAAAACTGGGCGAGGTGGGACAAAAGGAGCAGGAAGAGTTTGCTGTAATAGCGGGTTGCCGCCGTATATGGATCGTCCATATTCATACATAAAGGTCGGTAAAAAGCGCTTCCGTATGCTAACGTTCTTCTTTGGCGAAACATGTGGCAATGGGTCGGCCGCGCCAGGCCGTTTTTCATTAACTCTAGTGCCCATCCGTGAGATCTGACTAACAAGTAAGACCAAAAGCGCCCTTACAGGGTTTTGTATAGTAAGACAATTACTATACACCTATATCGAATCCCTTATGCAATTGAACACCTTAGAAAGTCGTGCGCACAAATCACAGATATCCGATCTAGAGTACAGAGAGGGAGGAAGAGGGAGATATAGACAAAGGAAATGAACGACGCTAAATTGACACAAAGTTCTTTGAAATTCGATTCAGACAGTCAACAGTACGATATCTTTAGGCAACAGCTCCAGCAGAACACGCTACACATTTATTCACTTCCGGTGATACTATTTTCAATCTTCGTGATATTGATGCCGTCATCAGAAGGGGCGTCCTCACCATTTTTTTTTTTGCTAAGTGTGTGGTTCAATGCTAAAGAGAAACGCTAGTTTGAGAACCAGATGAATTTGATACAATAGGGCGGTTTGGCTTGGCTAGACATCTTCGATTTTGCTGGATGATTGTATCGATGTTTGAGAAAATTGTGTCTTTCAGTCGGGTTGTCTCAGTGTGATTTGTAGCAGGATCAACGTTGCTAGGCGTATCGCCTTCCCCTCCCTGGGAGACAGCATCCAACCCACTTACGACCTTCAATATGGTTTCGATGAATCCATAGTTGCCGAGAATGTCTACGTGATCGCCGCTGACACTCCCACCGCGCAGGCTTAAGACTCTGTTCTGCTCGTCATGTGGGTATTCGACAGTCACGACGCGGCCCACGTTCTGCTGCCACCCATTTGGTGCCCTGCACATGTACCCAAGCGACAGGAGCGGTACCGTTCCATCGCCGTTGCCAAGATGAACCCCTTGGCTGGTGTTCGCGTCGTTGTAGTCCATATTGGTGTTCCAAATCCCATTGCTGCCGCGTGTGTCCTCGATACGGTAGCCCACCTCTGTCGTCTTGTTGACACCGTATAGACACACCACGGTTGTGTTTGGGGCCGGTGGGAGCACAGGCAGCTCATCGAGAATTTCATAATACCGTCGCATTTGCCGAGCGCAATCCGTGTGCCCGGAGCGCTCGCACTCTTGAATCACTATTTCAGCCAGTTCACGCATCCCAAGAGCCGTTCCATTCGAAAAGGTCCACAGATGTGGGTTTTCTTCCTCGCAGCCATGCGGCAGCATGTTAATCAGACAGCTCCATGTTCGTGTGCAGTTATATCGCGCACCCTGTGTTACGAACGTGTCGAGGACGCGGCGGGCGGACCGTGGCATCGTGAGCGTGTCTTTGACGTCGCCTTGCAGGAGCGCGGAGGCGGCCTTGGGCAGGCCCAGCACCGTCCCACCAACGTTAATGTAGTAGGCCACGTATTTATTCATGAAGCCCTTTTCCTGCATCTCTGCCCATTTGAAGAAGTCTAGCGCCACCAGGGCGCCATAACTGTGTGAAATCACAACCAAACGCTGTTGAAATTTTTGATATTGAAGCATAATGGAGCTGCGGATATTATGGAAAATGCCATCCCGATCATGCGCCTTTTGGGGTGAAAGACGCCAGTCGTATGTCATGACCATAATGTCCTGCGGATCATAGCCAATGTCCGCCAGGTTAATGATCACCTTCGCCCATACCCAGTAGCCAGGTACAAAATAGTCGACGGAGGCGAGACCGGAATCTGGTCGCACCTTGATCCCTTTTTTGTCAAGACCAGTAGTCTTGTCCATGGAGAAGAGATCCAACCAGCACGCGGGATCCGTCAGAATGAGGAAGAGCATAGAGGGGCCGAACATTCGCTGACGAAAGATGGAATGCGAGAACGAGGGCTGCCTATCCAAACAGGTCTGCTTCGCCTCCCACAGATCCATCGCACTCGTGACGAATCCGGGAATGATAATCACTGGATGCTTCCGCGGCAACTCGGCCCGGCCGCCGTTGAACCTATCTAAAAACGTTAACCCGGGCCGGTTCGGCTCGGCCACGATAAATGGACTCGTGACGGACTCGAACACTTCCTGTGCCTGCGACGAGAGTACCACCGCCAGTACTACCACAAACAACCCCAGGTACACCCGTCGTCTCCGAAAGAATGCCACAATCTCTAAAAGCAACACAACCCACCAGGGGCGTACCAGCTGCGCGCCAGACCTTCTGAGAGTGTCATCGTTCTCGATAAAATTGTCCAGGTTGTCAGATTCATCTTGACCGAAAACAAGGGCATAAAGATAATTCCCTACACATCGCATTGCTGAGTTATGATGAGTGTCACCGCACCTTCCTTTTTCCGCGTCATCTGGAAGACGTGAGACCGGTGAATGAGATAAATTACGTCCCGGTTGTGGTTTGTCCTTTTTTCCAGACGCGGTAACCTTGCCACCGAAGAATAAGTTATTCCGGATTCCTTGAGGCCTTGGAGAGGGCATTAGTATTAACGTCCAAATAGCTCCCTATCTGCCTATGCACAGCTTGAGAGGCCTGTGGTAATTATTATTATGTCCTAGCTTATGAAGCTAAATAATGAGGAAACACCTCGGTTAGGGAATCACCTACGTGATATATATTTTAAAAATGCTATTGAGTATAATTATTGGACTATGGAGAACCTGTGAAAACAATCAACGGGTTTTAATTCCTAGCCGGAAAGTTGTGTAAAAAAGCGAAGAAATAGAGCGAGGTGCTGAACAAGCGAGAGGGGATAGGGGAGGGGAGGGAATCATGAAACCTCACTTTACATGTCATGTTGAATATATATGTTAAGCTTTTTCCAATCGTCATAAGCAATATACTCATCAAATTTGACACTTGCATTAATTGCATGCTGTGGCACTATGAGGCGAATCTGCTATCTATAAATATATACTGGTCAGGATCATCTTCCTATTCTATTCATTTACACTCGATCCTTACAATATTACTTAGCAATAAAGGACTTTATTATAGTTGTTCTATTTGCTAATTGTGAAACTAAGGGCAAGAGGCTAAAGACAACACATCGATTGCCCTTGTTGTTTTCCTGCCCTTCGCTACGCATTATCATTCAGTCCAACGGTTCGTTTTATTACATACAAAAGTCTTCCTCAAGATGTGTGTTCATATTCATATACCCACCCCCTTAAAACCTCCATTTCCACAAAATACAGGTAATTCGTCGTCATTGGTACCTTGCCACTACCCCCTTTTTTTTTTGAGTGATGCACATGGTAGAGTATTTATTTGTGAGTGCAGAGTTAAAAGTACAAAGGAAAATCCACACGCAACGCATAAGCAAGGACTTTTTCATAGGCTCAATTACTTTTATTATGCATATATTACCATAGCGAATGCGTTGATCTAATATATATTCCACATTATCTTTCTATCGTATCATATGTCTCTTGATTGTATAATGTTACTTCCCTCTTGATAGGAGCTGCAAATTGTATATACTTTTTATCCAGCTGATTATATGCCGTCTGAGCAGCAGCCTATTGTTACAGCTATCACGCAAAAAGATAAAACTAAACGGGGCAGAATATAGCCCTATTGGAAAAGCCTTCCGTGTATTTTCTCGTTTGTTTTTCTAAATGGAGGAGGCATTAAGGGGATCAGAAATAAAAAATACAATAAAAGCCTTCTCCTTCACACATATATATATATATATATATATATATATATGTATATGTGCATATACTTTGTAAAATACCACTTTGGTTCGGAGATAAGGCAGTCTCACCGATATCTCGGCGTTAACGTAGCGGTTCACCTTTTCTCATCATGGCAGCAACGATCTGATAGGGGATTAGCCAGCTGTGCTAGCATTTTTGCGACTCTATCGCTCGGAATCACAATTGGCATCCTGAAAGTGTTAGTACAGCAATCGTTCAAATACACACTAAGCGATGCGCCACAGGGTTATCTTTAAAGGATTCCTTTATAGAATTCTCAACTACGTTACAAAAGCGACTCGCTATCCGTGGTCACAGGTGAGGTGTACCTCAGCTTTCTTTTTGTATGGTGTGCAGTGTTGTTTACCTCTGAAGTGGAGTCCAGGCACGACTTATAAGGGAGTTGTGCAAGGGTCTACTCCATCAGCATCCAAACCACCACTGCTACAATCAACGAACCCAGAATGAGCAGCGTGTTAAGCCGTGAGCCGGCTTTAGGGCGAGCCTTAGTTGCCAATGCGGTCTCCACCACGCCCGGTTTCTTCTTCTGGGCTTCTTTTGGGGCCAACGGCGGGTTTTCGTCGTTCTTTGTATCTGCCTTGCGTCTGACAGGAGAACTGGCGCTGGCAGGAGTGTCCTGAGGATGGGAGACAGGGGTCCTCACGGCCTGGTTGCTTTCCACCGCTGCAGAGTTGATCGGGTCGGGCGTGGTTGTGGCGGCTGCGCTTGTATCAAGGAATATTTGGGAGCGTAATATCTTTCGGAGAACGGAGCCTGGATTCTCTGTCTTCTTATCCTTGATGAGTTGGGATACGTTTGCATATCGTGGTTCGATGACGTCGTTTTCGCCTAAAAGGGCGCATTCCAGAAGGAAATCATCCTTGAAGATTTTGGCAGCAGTCATACTTTTGTCGTATTCCTGAATCCTGCGCTGGTTGAGAGTAATAATAATCTTCGTCGCGGAGTTCCCACGAACCACACCTTTGGCGTGCTTTACCACATAGTGATCCGGTGCTACGGTTTGTAACCGATAAATAATGGCATCATATCCAACGTTTGTCAGCTCTAGCGTACAGTCCTCGTTTACACCAAAGACAAGTTTAAACTTATCTGGCGACACAATAACGTTTGGTGTAACCATTATCACTTTTTTCCCTCTTCTGTTCAATGCAAATAGTAATAATAATATCAACTGGGTAAGACCTATACCAAACAGAGAACACTATATCGTGTTGTATGTGGTTATGGTAAGTAGATGAGTGGAGCAGGCTGTGTAGTTTGCTTTTTTGTCAGTGAATTTTTTCTATTACTTTCAGAATGTATGCGATGATGAAGGAAGAAATAAAACACGAGAGAAAAGAGTTGTTCCAACGATTCATTCACTGCACTCAAAATCAATTAAAGACAATAAATCATAAATCGGAAGGCAAAAAAATGCTTAGAGATCGGCTGATGCGACAATCCAAGGATTCTACTATTGAGGGCGTAAACCAATATGATGGGCGTGAGGGGTGGGGAAAGGATCTCTCTCTCTGCTCCCCTCCCTCCCACCCTTACAAAACTGCCCTCTTCCCCATCGCAAGGATAGCATTCCTGTGGGATGCCGTTTCATCTACCGGGGAACGCGCCACATCTACTCCTCATACCAGCAGGTTGGCCCCAGGAGGTCACCAAGGAAGCTACCCAAGAGAGACATGAGCGGGGCGGAGTCACCAATCGATGCCTCCGCCGGCGCTTTCAACGAGTCTATGCCGTTTTGGTTCAGATTTTTCTCATCATCCCGCACCACGCAGGCCGTCACACGCACTACCACCTCCTCACCAATTTGATAGTAGTTCCTATTTGGATCACCGTCATTGTGAGTCTGGGCGTCCCTCGCACCACTCCCTTCCTCCTGGTTATCGCCACCGTTAGCATTCTCGTCAACGTCGACAGAAATGTACCACGCGCTCTGCTTCACATCATACCTCGACCCCGGCACGAGCTGGTCCGCCGGCACCACAAAGGGAAAGGCGCCACAGAAGTCCAGCCGCAGACGCATGCCCTCGTCGCTCTGCTGCGCGATCGTGGCCCGGAGCCGAGTCCCAGGCCGCGGGGCGAACACCACCACCTCAAACACCGCTCCCAGCCACGCCGACGCAGACGGTCCCTTCACCTCAATGGAGGAATGCTCCAAGATATCCCCTATGGCGACACAGAAGCCACAACGCGGGGCCACCCGCCCCACGTACCGCTCCGTCAGCCGGTGGCGGATGATTTGCACGACCACGTAGGCGGCGTCCGGCGACGCGGGCTGGGCTACAGCGCCGCCGCCATCCTCGCCAGTCCGATGCGGCGAGGCTGCACTAATGGGATAGGTATCGCGACCGGGCCGCTTTAGGAAGTAAACGGGCTCGATTTCAACCATATCGTGAATAATATACAGAGAAAACATTTTTTAAAGACTAATACAAGATATATTATTTATTATTCTTATTTTAACCGATTCCGTTAGTTGGGGTTCCTTCCCAACAATGAGCAACACTAGGAGGGGCAGCGGCGACATAAATAAGGAGCACAAACCAAGCATGGTGACGCTATTATAAATCTCCGAGGGAGAATTATAAAGTTCCCTTGTAGGAAATAAATAGCTGCATAAGAATTTTAACAGAATCATATTATTATCTTACTCATTTTCGAGATTTTAATTAAATTAACCAAACACGACGCGTACACGTTTTTTTTGTGCTGGCGCTACAGTTTCTGTCGATGCACGGTAATCACAGATAACATAAGAGACGCTACGTAGAGAGAGAGACACACACACACACACCAAGGTACAATTAAACCAAAGATTTTACCAAAGATAAGAATTGCCCCCAAATCCTTTGTAGGGTGGATTTCATTTCCTTAGCTCTAAGTCCTTACGCTTTGCGCAACGAGGTCAATGCTCTCCTTTGTCCTACTGCGATTTGGGAATGGCTAAAATAACAATGCAGCAAAGGGTATCCTCATTCTGATACCCTCCTTGACTCATATTTTAGCTTATTCTCTGGTTTCATCTGGTCCGTTTTTTAGACTCCTTGCTTCATTGGAACCCCCCGACGAATGGTTCCCCAACCAATCAAACGGAAGTTATTATCTACCATACGCGATATAGCTACCTGCTCCCCAAGTGAACAACACACGGGAGTCACCAATTCCAGCTTCGCAATATCTGGGTTTATCGTAATGTTTAGCACCGTAGCACCGGCCGTGAGGGTGCCGACATTGATTTGGAGCGACTCTTGAAGATTAAGTTTCTGCACGCGTTTGATAGAGGTTTTACCATCCTTAGATGCCTTCGTGCCGACCATTTCGTTGAAAAGGTAAAACTGCACCTCTAACTCTGCATACACGTCCGGCAGGGAGTTTTCCTCACCAATCATATGTCCTACCATTTTATCCTGTCGCGTTAGTGTGGGGTCTAACGTGGTACCGACGGCAATAAGACCACCGGGGATGGCGTACTGCAGCACATTGTTCTCTGCCTTCAGTGAGACCGTACGGGTGCGAAGAGGGTTATAACTGAACCGACCCTGCTCCGTGTAGCTGCGCGACTTTATCAGCCCAGGGCGGATCTCAAGCACTTGCCCAAGCCGAATGACACCCTGTGTGACTGTACCACCTGCTACCCCACCTTTCAGGTTTTCGATATCACCCTCTCCGGGCTTATTGATGTCGAACGATCGAACAATTGTCATACGGGCCGGACAGCGTAGCTGACGGGTTGGAAGTGGTACGTGCACGAGGTACTCCAATAGGAAGTTCACATTGCGTTTGAGCTGGGCCGAGATCGGCACGATCGGGGCGTTGAGCGCTATGTTATCCAGGTAGGCTCGTATTTGTCGGTACTGATCATGCGCGTGCACCTCGCCCACAAGATCGATTTTGTTCTGCAAAACTATCAAATGACGTAGCTTCATAATCTCTACGGCCTTAAGG